AAAAGTGATGCATGGAGGTTTGCAGTATGACTCCTATTGAAGTGAATTGAGATGTAGGTAAATCTCTTCTTAGCGCCTTAGGCCTAAAGTTAACCAGGCATGTCTAATGTTTGGTTCTTAAGTCCACTTTTTTTGCATCTCTGTAAGTGACCTGATTTTAAGGAATTGAAAAAACAAGAATTGTCCTGTTGCTTTTAAAGTTTTTTTTTTAAAGTTGCAGACTTACATGGCTATGCCTTTGAGACTAATTTAAAGGGATGAAGAGCACCTTTAGCTCCCAGTTACTTCACTGTATACCAGCCTGTCTGAAAACTGCCCATGTGTGTCCAGGGTCCTACATGCGGATTTAATTTCCAGAGTTTAGGCACTCAGGTTTGGAAATTTTGTCCTTAAAATATGCTCTTGAATAACTGAGTATGTAGGTAGCACATTTCTGAATGACCTATTTCTTCTCAACAGTAGAACCTCACCTCGCGCCTTGGGAAGGCACTGCTTCCACTTCAGCCTCAGGCAAAGTTAAGAAGCTATATTTATTTATGAAACTTTACTAGGCTGAGAAGTGACACTTCCCAATTCATAGAGACCTAATCAAAAGCAAAGTGAACCATCCTCTCCAGGTTGCCAGCTTCACAATATTTTTGTCAGTGCTACAGTTCTGGAACATTAAAATTGGCCTTTAATCTTGTGTGAAGCTGCTAGGTTTCTGCCGGGGTCTCTACTGGAGACAGCTGCAAGATTTGGGCTGCAATTCTTGCTTCCCCAGCAGAGGCCATTGCTCCATTTGCTGCATCCTGTTTGTGCTGAGCATGGGATCAACTAGCAGCTTACAAATCAGGCTATTTATTTAACTGGCCTGGATGGTAATTCAGCCATCCCTGCTGAAATACCTAGGCACATCAAAGTGAATTGAAATACAGCACACCTAGGGGGCGAGGGGAAGAGGGCGGAACAGGGAGGGTGCTTTCAGTTCAGTCATTGGCACAGCTCCCTGATGTAGCCAATGGTATTCACAATAGTGGAGTTCTGCTTGCTTTAGCTGGGGGTAAGTTCTACCATTGTAAATAGCAAGCTTGCCCTGATTTCAGCCTGCTGTAAATGGGCAAGTCCCCAGAAGCGATGAGGCCTTGGCCTTCAATTCTGAATGTCCTTACTTTTGTCAGTTTTAAGGTCAATCATCGTACAAGCTTGTTTAAATTATTTTGAGCAATAAACAATAAAAAGGCGCTGGGGAAACAATTGGAAGAAGAGTGTTGTCAGTTCCATCAATACAATGTCATTAAACTATTATTTTTCCCTTTCTTGGAAGTTACCTAAGGCTTTGTCTACCTCTTAAACCATTACAGCAGCACAGTGATGGGAAGGGTTCTCCATCACTGTAGTAAATGCACCTCCCTGAGAGGTGGTTGCTAGGTTGACAGAATAATTTTTCCATCAGCCTAGTGCTGTCTGCACAGGGACTAAGATCAGCTTAATTACATTACTCAGGAGTGTGGATTTTTCATACCGCTGAGTGATGTAGCTGGGTAAGTCTAATTTTGTTGTATAGATTGGCCCTAGGAGCCAGATGCGCCACTTTTTTCAAATGGCATCTAGACCCAAAATATAAAACTTGCAGGTATCAGATCGGTAGTTACAAGTCTGTTGGCCTTACATTTACAAGTGTTTGTTGGGTATGCAAATTAATCTTCTGATTTCGGTGGAACTGAATAACATATTATGTGTACAGTAGGCAGGTGCAAATGAAATGGCTTCTTTGAAGATTTGGGTTACAATGACAGTGTATTGCTGGGAACTTAGAGTGTAACTTGGAAGCACTTGCTATTTTGTTTTCACGGGGTGTGATTGAGTTACACACATGGAACACAGATTTGAACAACCCAGACACCAGAAATACCATCCACAGTGACACAAGGTATCTGCAATTCCTGCTTCACAAAGGAGTCTGGAGACAGGTGGCACAGATCAGGAAGTGTTTGGACGGGCCTGGGAAAATCTAGTCAGAACACCCAGAGGATGTGCTGAGTCATAGCTTCTTCCTCCTATTTATCCAGTAATCCAGAAACTCTTTTGAAAAAAACAAGACAGAAATCTTCTGACTTTCTTGTTAAGAGGGCTAACAAAAACATAGCACTCCTCCTTTATACATATAAAGAAAGCAAAGCGCAACCACTGTTTTCCTCCATCCCCCTTTCAAGGTCAGCCTTAAGTTAATTTTATTTAATTTCTGTTAACAGAAAGAAGCCTTGTAAGTAAAACTTAAGGCCCACAATCATTAAGATGATGTATGTGTCCTGCCACATAGAGTTGAAAATTCTATTGACTTAGCCTGCTCAAGCTACCTGCATTCTACACAAAGAGTTGGGCATCTATGAAAAGGATACCCAGAGGTGAGCAAACTGAGCAGGGAACTGCCCCAGCAAACCAGGAGGCCAAATGCAATGGTTTTGGCCTAGATTCAAAGGTACTTGCATGCTTAATTGCCAGAGATCTGAACCTTAGGCACCAACTGATGGGTGAGAGAGAGGCCCCTCCCTCTGCTCAGAGTTC